TAGCTGACTGGCCTACCAGATTTTTTATGCAGTTCAACATACACAGTGACACCAAGGTAAGACAAATGAAGTTCCAGTTGGGATGCCTCCATCTCACCATCTCCCTCCCCTGGATCCTGATCCGTGACTGTCAAAACCAGGAAGAACTGGGGTAGGGTGCTTGATCATGGGGAAAGCTGTTGTGGTTCGCCCGGCAGATGGGAAAGGGGGAAGGTTTCACTTCTTCACAATTTGAATGACATCCTCGTCCTCCAACGTATGGTCTTTACCCACTTTCTGAGGATTTGTGTTTCACAGAGAGACCCCAGAGCAGAGCATATTTAAATTCTTTGATAAGATTTTTGTGAATCTTCATGCAGAAATCCTCCACTGTGGTCCTGGAGTAAGGAAGCACCACTGGGGATGTGTAATCTGGCAACTGGCCTTTGGGTTTGGTATAAATTCTCACTAGTTTCAGGTAGTCCCAGATCTTTTCCAGTAGGTCATCAAAATTCCAACAGTGATGGTCAGAGATGGGTACACAGTGAGGCACCTTATAGATGATATCCAATTCTTCAATGGAGATTTGGTCAATCTTATTTAACACATAGATACAGGGGATATAAACTCTGTTTCCTTCCACTACATCAATGAGGTCATCAGCTGTAACATCACTACGTAGAGTCACATCGGCATTATGAATCTTGTATTCGGCCAGAATGCTTTTCACAGTTTCAGCATCCAGCTCACTCTGGGGGCAAGTGGCTGTGAGATTAATGCTTCCCTTGTACTTCTTCTTAAAGCCAATGTTGGGGGGTTTGCTGTTCAAGCGAATGCCAAAGCCTTCCAGTTCATTTTCAATTATCTTCTTATGTCCCAAGGGTTTCAGGACATCTAAAACAATCAGGATCAAGTTACAGGTTCGGGCCACTGCAATGACTTGATGACCTCTACCTTTCCCATTCTTGGGAAATGATACCTGGGAGATCCAGGAGCTGGATCTTGGCACCTTTGTATCTGATGACACCAGGCACGGTGGTCAGAGTAGTGAATTCATAGGCTGCTACCTCAGAATACACCCCTGCCAGGTTACTAAGCAGAGTTGACTTCCCCACAGATGGAAAACCAACAAATCCAATTCGAGCATCACCTGTCTTGGCCACATCAAAACCTTCTCCTGGACCTCCACTACCACCACCCTTTGGAGTAATGAGTTCTTGACGAAGCTTAGCAAGATGAGACTTAAGCAGCCCTTAGGTGGTATGCTGTGGCCTTGTTCTTTTGAGTCTGAGCCATCTCAGCTTCTATCTCCATGATCTTAGCTAAGGTGCTGCTCATCCTGGCAAGTCCCCCGTGGCCTCCACACTGACTGTTTCTCTTCATACACCCGCGGGCAAACTGCAACGGGTACCAGGCGCTACTGCAGTCCTAATTTTGTATTTTTAGTAGAGACTGGGTTTCTCCATGTTGGTCAGGCTGGTCTCGAACTCCTGACCCCCAGGTGATCCACCTGCCTGGGCCTCCCAAAGTGCTGGTATTACAGGCATGAGCCACCACGCCCTGCCTGGGCTCAAACTTTCTTTTCCTAAGAGTCACACCTTTGAGTAGTACTGTTACATGGTAATCACTACTCAAAAGAAACTAACTTGAGGTTTCCAATAATCAGCTTTCATTTAAAGTCTCTTTCAGCTTGACAAAATAAAAACTTTCAATGTTTTATCTACCTACATCTAAAAGAAAATTAGTCTATATGTGNCTGAACAAATTTCTTAAAATAATTTCAGTGTATAGAAAGCAAGTTATTTACTCTTCTTATTAGCATATCTTATTTTTATATACCCTTTAACAAGCATCTAAGTTAAACTGTTTTATATCCACAGCTACACACTGAAACAGTTTGTCACAATATAATTCACAATTTAAATTATAAAGAGATCCAGTTACCTTTAGTTTTACATGTACTTATATATACTTTTAATATACTTCTTGATGTTTTACAATGCACAAACATTCAACATATATCCTACTCTTGCAGGATATATAACTATGAGAATATTTAGAGTGTTTGCTAATTAAATGGTTCGGAACTCTCTTTAAAGAAAGTCAATTTTAAGAACTTAAGCATACAGTAAAGTACTCCTTCCACGCTCCAATGTTAAAAGATCCATTTATTTCAGACTGTTTCAAAAAAAAAAAATCTAAAATTCATCATAATTCTGCTTAAATTCCATATTAACCTAGGATCAAAAGTTATTTTTAGTTCTTGTTTCTTAAATACTCAAAATGTGCTGCTGCGTAATGTTTTCCTTATATATTTATTCGTTCCACTAACTTGAGGTGGAAGGTACTTATGAGTAAAAATCCTTTCCCAAAGTGGAAATAACATAAAAATTTTGCATAAAAGACACCCGATGTTTCTCAAAGGGTATCTGAGAATCTAATCAGCCTATTAACTTGGTTCAGAATAACCACCAACAGCGAAAGTGAGCTTTTTGTCACTCTATGTATTTTCCCCTGTAAACTAATACCTACATTTTAAATGCATTTTCAAAATGTTTCATTTGGCCATGTGATAATTATTTCGCCTGTAAAAAGCTACAGGATTTTGGTTTAAGAGCAAATAAGAAAGAGTATCTGGTCCATGAGATGGCTAAGTAGAAAGATCCGCACCCTGAAGTTTGTAACCAATAACAAGACAAACTCCAATGCTACCTTGTTCATGTAATCAACAATATGTGAGTCGAAATAAACTAGTGAGCTATACATTTTTGTCTGCATACCAATTTACCAATCAACAGGAGGGGAAGAAATTGCTCAAATGCGACTACTGTTAACAAACATATTAACAAACATCTAAATATTAGACATAATCTCTATTAAAATAGTAACCTACCAATTCTGAAATCATTCCTTCAACTTCTGTTGTTTTTAATCCTCTCTTAAAAACAAACAAACAAAAGAGCAGCCACCTTTAAAATGTAAATTCCTCCCTTTTTCAAAGTAACTTGCCTGGGAAAATTTAATGCGTTAAAATAAAACGTAACCTTTGGGAGGAAGAGGCGAGCGGATCACGAGGTCAAGAGATCGAGACCATGTTGAAACTCCATCTGTACTAAAAAATACAAAAATTAGCTGGGCGTGGTGGCGCGCACCTGTAGTCCCAGCTACCCAGGAAGCTGAGGCAGGAGAATCGCTTGAACCCAGGAGGAGGAGGTTGCAGTGAGCCGAGAT